GCTCTCTGCGATTTTCCAATGATCACAAGGAAGTTCTTGATCTTGACTATTAAGCGCTGTCATGCTTTCAAGTAATACTTCAAAAGCGAGTGCGAGTGTTTCATCAGGGGTTCCAAACACCGAGAAACAGATGAAAGCACGAGGCCGCAGTCCTAGTGCTTTTATTGTTTCGAGGTGTTTGGAAACCCCTGATGAAACACGAAGCACGAGTTTTTGGTATAGCTTCTCATACGAGTTGCCGACTATTATTGTTTGTTATTTTTGTTTCGTTTTGTTAATTAAACAATAGCCATAGATTGCGATAAAAATGGTTTGGATGGAATGTGCCATTTGGGAGTTAGCCAACTTATTGCGTTCAAAGAACGCAAACCTAAGGACACCAAAATGGCCACCCCACTTGATTTTTTGCAGGGGCATGTCACGGCCAGTAAACTGGTACTGTTTAATACTAAGACATGTGATTACATGTGATAAGACATGTGGTGAACATGTGAGCATGTAAGCAGGCCATGTGAGCTCGTCTTTGCGCTGGATCTTTCATTGACTTCTTTCCATTCAGGCACGCCGTGGGCTTCGCTATTTTGTGCTCTCAGCGTCGGATATGTGTGAATATAAACGCTTCGACGGTAGCATTTATCGAATTTTTAGGGAATTGTCGTGGTTTATTTTGTATGTTAACGAACACGACTTTGAATCGCCTTGGCTTTGGAATGTTAATTGTGGGAACAGCTATATTTTGAATGCGTTTGTTGATTAGCTCCAGTCGCGAAATATACATGCAGCTCAGTCTTTATCCGGTCAAATATTTTTTGGAGTCGGTGGAGAAATATCCATAAGAGTGTGCCTGAACCAAGGAACGGCAAATTATGTAAATACTGTCTACTTTATTCATCAGGGGNCGGTAGCATTTATCGAAATCTTAGGGAATTGTCCTGGTTTATTTTGTATGTTAACGAACACGACTTTGAATCGCCTTGGCTTTGGAATGTTAATTGTGGGAACAGCTATATTTTGATTGCGTTTGTTGATTAGCTCCAGTCGCGACATATACATGCAGCTCAGTCTTTATCCGGTCAAATATTTTTTGGAGTCGTTGAAAAAAGATCCATAAGAGTGTACCTGAACCAAGGAACGGCAAATTATGTAAATACTGCCTACTTTATTCATCAGGGGAAATACGCGAACCAGTCGCACGGAGTTTGTTTACGCTGACGATAAACAAGCACACGACTGCAAATGTTTGCTTATATTTGTGCTTCCAGCTTAGAATAATGTATATAAAATATACTTTTTCAAGTTAAGTTTTATGTTTAAACATTACCAGTTAATGAGAGAATATTTAGCACGAAATTTGAGTCTACGGAAATTGGCGCAGTCA